AAATGTATTATCAAAATTAAACGACAAAATACATTTACATGTGCACATCATGGTTTCTGAAGTAATAGAATCAACTATCATGAGTTTAAGTGGTTAAAATCTTTTATTATCAGTATGACACACCGCATCAGGAAACCACCACTGAATTCTATTGGCCTGGCTCTTGTGTTTCCTTTGCTAAGGTTCAATTTACTGTGCAAATTTGTTTTCACTGTAAAAATATCAATTCTTTTTTTGATTTTAGCCCTTTGCTTTAAAGACCTACAGCTAAAAGCAAGTACCTCATACTGTATACTGGTGAAAGAAAGGTCTTTTCACTGTTAATAATACAATTACAAAAGTGTGCTTGTAGAATAGTGAATGCCTTTTTGACCAGACAAGAGGATAGGAGGACATTAGCAGCTCAATTACTGGATAATGAGATATATATGAGCAAGTTACCGCTGATACAGTGATGACTAGGCCACTTATGTTCCTCATCAATTACTTTAGGATGTCAAAACACATCAAATGGTGGAAGTTGTTTTCCAATAAAGGTCACCTGCAGCAGACAGACCCATGTATATGCTACTGTAAGTGCTTCTGCTCAATTGTGTGTATAACTTACAGCAATGCCTCTATAGGAATTGTACTGAAGTACATGTACAATGAAGTACAATGTACTGAAGTAAATGTATGCTTGTGAATGATTAATGGTTTCCATGCAAGTCTTTGTACCGTTTTACTGGACTTATTTGCATTGTATTGTGATCATTTTTCTTTATATGCTTTGGGCTGTGCATGTGTTTTGCTTTCATTGGTGGGTGATTAAGCTTTATTTTCATTGGTGGTAGTTGATCCTGTTGATTGCTTGTTCTGTGTAGTGTTTGTGTCTGTGTTCAGTGAGTTAGGCAAGGTTATTATTTCATTTTTGTGAATGAATAATGTTGCCCTTTCCATGTACAACAACTAATTACAATACTTGACTATAGGCCAATGTGTTTATTGCTTGAAATTCTACCATACATATGCCTGTTTGTACACAGTGAAGCTTCAGGGGCTGCTTAATTGTTAATTGCACATGCATGTGTAATAAAAGGTTACGTTGATATACCTCAAAGTGAGGAAGACTCTTTGACTGATACCACACCTATAGTTTTCACCCATTTCTAATGCTAACAATGTAAATAATTACAGCTTTAAGGTACATGTATGTCATTTGGACTTTAAAGTTTTGGGTATTTAGGTAAATTTTTTCTAGAAATGACTACTGATAATTCTCCATTTATACAAATGTTGTAAGACACAGTTTGTCTTACGTTGCTTAGAAAAATGTTAATGAACTTAAGGTGACAGGGAGTATTTAATTTGGTGAATTTCAGCCATTTAGAGAAATTGCTAACTTAAATCTGACTTTAATTTCTCATTTGAATATTAATAGTTATTAATACTAAAAGATCAAACCACTAAATTAAATACCAATGAAATGTCAGTATCATGAAAAGTGCTAAACCAATTACATAATAAATTTTTTTTAATGTTAATGAATTGTAGTTCTTTTTCTGGGCAGAGTAAGTATAGATCAGAAAAGGCATAAAATATGCTCTACTTAGTGTACTACAAACTATTAAATTGTCACTGACACAAAAATGGTTAAGTCTCTTGTGTTTCTCTAGTACATATTGAAACTTCAACAAAGGTAACCTGACTGACCTTTGTTGACCCACCCTATCATATTGTTGTAAGTGTAGCTGTACAATGTGCACTTAATTAGTTTGGGAAAATCGCTGTACATGTGTTATATACCGTAAATCCTTAAATAGAAGTTGCATTTGAATAAACGCTGGGGTAGTGACACAATTTAAGTATAAATACGCAACACTAGCCCAGGAGTGACTCAATAGTCTAGTGGATAATGCCTGAAGTTCCAGAAGTCAAAAGCATGAGGTCACAGGTTTGAACTCCGCTCTGGGCCTAAGTCTTTTTTATTTTTTATACATTTTTTGGAGGTCTAAATACCATTTGAGGAAAAAGACGCCCTGCCTTTTATTTAAGGAAATACAGTACTTATTTTGTTATGTATTTATTTGTTGAGGTGTCATCAAGTGTGTGTCTGTATTAGCAAAGGTACATCTAAAGGTTGTCATTTCAAATGTGTGAATTTATTCATTAAATTGTACTGTTTCGACTATGTAGCTCTTCTTATTGATTTCGGGATCATGCATTGATCAGTAATTCTAAAGAACTCATTAGTCGTCCCTTTTGTCTGCAATACAGTGAAGATCATAAAC